CCCCCCCCCAAATTGCTGTCCAAAACTTAACTGCACAAATTAGAAGTGATACTTTGGTGCTATTTAACCAACCACTCTTAAGAGGAACAATACCACTTTTTTTTTCTTTTTACCAAATAAACTTTTAATTTTGGCTATATAATGACTTTTTTCTGATACAAGTCACTAATCATGTCCTGTCAGGTGTCTAGATAGAGACAGACAAGCCAAATTCCCACTCGAGAAGGCTTTCAGTAATGAAATTTAAATTGTACATGCACCATTTGTATAAAATTATAGTAATGTTCTTGTTTCAGTGCACTCATCAGTAAGCTCTGTGAAAAGAAAATTACAGAGCAATTTAAATATACACTATTTGCATAGCAGCTGGTTATTTTGAAAGTCTCAATCAAAGCAAAAAATACTCCTGGAAAAACTAACTTTGAAGGAAGAGTAGGCATGCCCTGACCTTCTTACAATATGCTGTGAATTCCTTTCAGCAGAAGTTTTCTTTGCAAGCTAATGACTTATTCATAAAGATGTACTAAAAAAAAAAATCAATCACAAAAAGCTATAAAGGGAGGTGTAAGAAAACACCTCTCAAGTTCAAGATATTATATGCTGCATTGCTTTTGATGAGGAATGAAAATGTCATACTGACAAGTAACAACAGCTGAAGGCTTACTCTCCCTGCAGGGGCAGCAAAGGAGTAACATGCACTTGATTCAGGTCATGGATCTGCAGAGGTGATGAGTGACTGGACAGCCCTCTGCTTGACAGATGGTTGGCATAACGTAGAGCACAAGCAGTCAAAATATAGATCGTCTATCCCCTTAGGTGATTGATCGGTTTTTCCTTCCTTCACCCTAGGTTCGTCAACTCGAATACACTCTAAACCCATTGCTAATTAGTTTACTTGCTCAGAAAAGTAGTAGATTTTATTTTTAAGTGTGCTCTAAATTGAGAGGGGGCACTGAAGTGCAGCAGTTTATTTCACTTTTTTTTTAATAAAAAACAATAGAAAATACTGAATTGGAGGTGATTTTCCTAAGCACCTGTTTAAAGTGAATTTACCAAGATCCCAACCATACACTCATTTTTAAGCCCCGTTCTCTGAAGAACACTGCAAATACTGTGCTCGCTGCTCATTTTACACATAGGGGAGGATTTACAATATAAAATTAAATATGGCTTTTTCCCCCACTTCCCTTCTGGTTTAGGAAAAGTAACCTGAATAATTCTTCAGGAAACATAACAAAGTGTATTAAATATTACAGCAAGTTATCCATGTTCAATTTCACAGGCTGAAGTGTTAGTCCAGTGTGTATTGATTTAAAAAAGAATTTCAAGTATTAGTTTCAAGATTCCAATAAGTATAGTCCAGAAAACAGACTCCTCATCCTGAGATTCGTCTTCTGCAGACTGTGAGTATTTCTGGTTTGCCTCCATCTCCTCAGGGTTGTAGGAAGCCTCACCAAATGGGTACTGCACAACTGTTCGGTCGTAGTATACTTTCATTTCAAACTCGCTCTCCAGGTGAGAGGGATGACCATAAATCCCTATTCCCACCGGGCGGCGGAAGTGCGCGGGCACGTGGACGACATCTTGGCCACAGGTTACAGACTGTAACTCGTACTCGTCAAAGCTGGGGTGAAGCGTCATATCAGATACATACAAGTCCGCATCACCTTTTAAACTCTGCATCTGAAGTACTATCTTTCCCTCGTGATTTAGTCTCAAATAGCTGTAGTTTCCTGCTCCAATCTGACCTTGGACAACATGAAGAAGAATCCATTCTTCGGGTACCTCCTCTTCCTCAAAGGTATTTACCACAAATAGTACTTGAGCTGCCACAAATATGACCAGGATTCTTCTCCAGCGTGCTGCCATGGTCTTAAGTTATATTCAGACTCTTCCTGTGTCCCATGCACTACCTTGTGAATACAAAACATAATTCAGATTTTAGTATATGCCATTCTTGGAAGGAATTGATTTTTTTTTTTTAATTTGGTAATTTTTATACATGCCCTCTAGTCCATGCAAAGTTAAGCAAGTTCAATTAAGTACTTTCATTAACTCTTCTTCTTTTTTAATAGTAACGAAACCCATTGCTAAGATTATTCAGAGCTTTGGAGGATTAAAATGCCTTGACTTTCTTGAAGAAGTTAAACAGAAATTAACCAAGAGGGTGTTCTTTCATCCAGAACTGACACAGAGCCTTTAGTTTTGTTCTATCTGCATGCATACCAGATTTGACAAATACCCTGAAGAGATAATAATTTTAGCCTCAGTTTAAAACAACACAGTTAAAAAAAGAAGGCTTTTGCCTGCCTGAAGTTTAACTTTGTATCAGATATTTAGAGCATCCTATTTGTTCTTCCCTCAACTTCAGAAGACAGTAAATGTGCACATCTGGATGAATGCATGAAGCAATATGCATTCTGACTTGCACTGGGAATGGATTCAGACATAAACCCAAACTATCTAGTGAGATAATACATTAATTTATGATTCTGCTGTGTGGCTTGTTTCTAGGTCTAAATTTGGCATATTTTCCCGGAAAAAAAAAAAAGCATTTACTCCTGAATATTTTCTCACCATACAAATAAATGCTCAACTCTTTACAGCACTTGCTTACGAAACAGAAGGCTGAAGTTGCCGGGGCGAAGGGGAGAGGGAAAGGTCTGCTGCAAAATGAGGGCTCTTACACCCTTTCCCTCTTTGTCCCACGCTCCCAGTCAGGCAGCTTGAGCGTGCCGCAGCACTCCAGTCGTTTCAACAGTTGCACTAAGTGTGTGCGTACAAAGAATCCAGCTCCGAATCTTGCTGAAGGCTTCCAAAGCATACAGCTGACTGAATTTGACATGCGCACCACAGTCAAGTACAGGAGCCACGAGCGTACGCTTTCATGTCTTGGATGAAGATTTCCATCCGCTCAGTCCTGCCGTGAGGACGCTACAATTACCTTAAACCAAAGCTACCAGTAAGTTGTTTTGTACCCTGCCAGCATCAAAGCAAACTGCATTACTTCCACTGAGATGTCACTTAAATCTTAGAGGTTTTCCAGTTAAACAGTTCTATGGAAAAAATGTACAAATCTTTCTGGAGTTCCAAGTTTTCTGTCCCAGAGGCCTCTACACTGCAAGGCCACAATTCTGCAAAGACAGCATAAAACAAGGAAACACAACACTGGCAGAACCTGCCAGACTGACAAAACACCCTCAACAGCGACACAAAAAAAAGTCTTCTGCCTTTTGTCTCCCGGTGTCAGGGACCTGACTCTGCCACTTTTACATAGAAGAGGTGATGAAATATGCGAGCGGAGGAGCAGGCAGAGCTCCACATCGGGGCAGAAAACGGTCAAGTTACCTGGGGACAAACGAAAACGTTCTGGCGCCGAAGAGCGCTGGGAGGGAGAGGCGACTTCAGGAGACCTCGGGCAGAGCCACGACCGCCTCAGCCGTCCCCGCCACCTCCGTCCCACCCTCCCTCCCCGCGGGCGGGAACAGCCGCGGGAGGCAACGGCC